GTCCTCCTCAGTTTCAGCGAGCAGGGTTGTGCCATCTGCATAACGCAGATTGTTGATAGATCATCCACCAATCCTAACGCCACGCTTCTCTAGTTACACTCTATGCCACCCTTAATAGGCTCAGAGAAAGCATTCCACCTGCTTCCAGAAGATGCAGAGAGTATCAACTTCATAATTCTAGGATTGGTTTTCCTCAACCATGTCGTTGGGGAAGGCAGGGTGGGGAGGGGGATTCTCTGGATGGGATTTACATGTTCAGCTCTAAATGAAATGTCAGGGTTCGAGTTCATCCTGAGGTGACTCACATTAAAGGCTTCTTTACCTATTTCTAAATATCAGTCTCAAGAAACCATAAGAAGGAGAGTTCTACCTTTACAAAACTGGAATTTCATTCCTATTTGTGATGTAAGGGACCGTTACTAATCTTGAAACTTATTTATCTAACAGATTTTGAAGATATTTTAATTTCTTAATTTACATATATCCTACTTCACTGTCTTCCTCTTGTCCTTTTGTATCCAAGAGAATATATACTGAAGCTTTTTAGAAGGTCCCTGTTGATGTACTGTTTTAGTCATTTCTTTCATAATCAAGATGCCTACGACTTTTCCCTGAGAAAATAAAAACCGGACAGTATTCAAATTTCAAGGTTGAAATCCCTGTCTATACAAAAATCTCCTTATCCATTATCTTGTGCTCTGGAGAGCTCCAGGGACTTAATGGTATGTTCCATTAAATCTGATGGTTTAAGGTTAAAGAATTAAGCTTCTGATTTGAATACTACATGGTTCAAAATCAAGAAAGGATTGTGTTTCAATCCATAATATTCTAAACAGAGGAGTCGGGAAGCTGGACTTTAGGAAGAACAACGTGGTGTCAGGATGAGAGGAAGACCCATCAATAATTTGTAATGTATAAATGACACAAACTTGTTCACCAAAACTAAGGAGAATTTTGATGCATTTGCTGCAGAAGATTAAGAAATATAACTTCCAATATGGATCTTACCTCAACATCAAGAAAATAAAAATCCTCAGCACTAGGCCGATAAGCAGCTTCATGACAGATGGAGAAAAGATTGAGGTTGTCAAGCATTTTATCTTGTTCAGATTCACAATCCACACCAGAAGTCAGGAAATCAAAGATGGGTTGCAATGGAACAATCTGCCCTTAAGGACCTCCCACAAGTGCTAAAAAGCAATGATGTCATTCCAGAAAGTAAAGCATCTAGACGACCATCCATGCCAAAGTTTTCTCAATTGTTTTGCTATGTATCTGAGATCTGGACAGGGACTAAGAATGACAGAAGAACAATTCAAGCCTTTGATAGGTGTGGTGCTGGAGAAGAGTGTTGGATTTAGGCAGCATTGTGCTGAATGAACTAATTCACTCTCATAAGGGCAAATATTGTGTAAGACCATTTTGTAAAAATACAGTGGTGACTAGGAAGAAGTGAGTAAAAGTCCAAAAAGGGAAGAGGTAGAAGCAAGGAAGCAGGGCCGTAGTGAGTGGAGGAAAACACTAGGATAACAGAGATTGGCCAAGTGGAGATATATGTGTGAAGAATTTAGGAAAGATCCGGTAGCACCTGAACAGATGAGATAAGGGTAGGCATAGATCATTAGTGGGCATAGACCAATGGTCATTAATTTTGTAAAACACAATAAGATCACATCCATAATGTGAATGTAGGAATGTGTGAAACACAGTGTATGTGTATGATGCACAAAGCATACGAATTTTGTATGAAAACCAACATAAAAGAAGAACAAAGTTAGAGGGAGAAAAGGGAGAGGTGAACGGAAAGAAAAAGAAAACAACTGGAGGAAATTTAAGGAAAACTATATTAGAAAAACAGCTTTTCTCCTTTATTTTTGGGCGGGGTGGGGGGGATGTCCAATGTAGTAGTAACTATTTCTTGAATATCTTTTTCAGATTGTACTCCATTTATGTTTTTACAGATTGTGTGTGGTCAGTGACATTCCATGCCTTACTTTTTCTAGGATTGAAAATTACAGAAAGGTTTTTTGTCTAATCATTTGTGTAATGTGTTCTTGAGAAAGAACTTTTTACTTACCTGTCTGGAATCGAGCATTCATCTGAGCTGAAAGGAGATGCATACGTAAGACTGGATTCTCAGGCAATTAAAGATACAGTAAAGGGATAATGTAGAGTTTATATAATCATTATCATCATAATATTCAAGCCTTAGGGCCTTCTGAAACTGATTGTTAGGTATAAAAAAAGTTCAACCATATGCTCCTTAACTCATTTAACTTTAAGTATATAATCATTGAAAACAGTAAAGTTATTTTATGTTGAGGGACAAAAGAAATGCAAAATCAAGTCAAGAGGAAAGGTTGATGTGAAGGAAATGGTAAATTGAGATAGAATAATATAATTTCTCATAGGTTTTAACTGTGAAAGAAAATTACCAATATCTTCCTTTAATTTTCCTAGAAAAAAATAGAAAATTCATTTTAATGACATTAAGAAAATAAAACAAATGTTACTGGAAATGTCTCTTGCAATGATGTGGGTAGGTTATTATGGTGAAAAAAAAATAAAAACTGAATTATCTTTTTTTTTTTCAGAAAACAGAGGAAATGGGGTAGGGGAACCCCATTTATTTACATAAGTTAACTAAGACTCTACTCCTAGCCTACCATCTGAGTCTTTAGCCAGAAAGCAGAAGATATTGTGGTCATTTTCAAGTAAAAGAGTAAGGTTCTTTTAAGGGGTATATTATGTGAAAAAGGCATTTTCAAATGCATTCTCATATTAAATTTTCCCTAATGTTGAGTTGGGCAAGAATGAATGTAATTATTCATCCCAATTATCATCCCAAAGAGAGCTGAAAAAAAGTTATGAAAATTAATTCATTGAAGAGAGAAAAGAGAAGAGAATGGTTTAGGAGACCTATAAAAGAAAGTAAGGTACAAAAATTTACACAGAAAAGAAAATTAAGAAAAAAACAAGCCATAGTGTAAGGGGATCATATATTTT